ATTTGCGTGGTTTTTTTTGAGTTACAAAATCCACTTGAACATGACGCTGCTTTTTTCGAAGTTTCTCAAGAACCATTCGGGCCACAGAATTCGTTTTTGCATCGTTGGATCGAGAATTGAAAAGTCGATTCCGTAGTAACAACGTGAGTGAGGAAGTTCGAGTAGTTTTGACCCAGGAAGCGAAATTTGAATATCAGACACTTAGGTGCAAGATTATGTCAAAATTCTATGTTTTCTGTCCCGTTTTTGCTCATATCTCGGAGGCAAAATGAGCAAGAACGCTCACTTGTACATCATTCTAGAGAGAAATAAATGGCATTTTTAGAAAGTGAACCATCGATAAGGAAATGTTAGCAGTTTTCTCAAAAAATGCTTGAATTCAAAAAGTTTTAGAGTTGCGTGGTTTTTTTTGAGTTGCAAAATCCACTTGAACATGACGCTGCTTTTTTCGAAGTTTCTCAAGAACCATTTGAGCCACAGAATTCGTTTTTGCATCGTTGGATAGAGAATTGAAAAGTCGATTCAGTAGTAACAATGTGAGTGAGGAAATTCCAAATGTGCAAATTTTTCCCTTAAGAATGAAATTTAAACCAAAATTCCACTTTCCATTAACATGGTTTTTGTATATAGTTTCGGAGAAGATTGAATTTGAAGTTAGAGAGACTTAAACTGCCACCCACATTGTTTGCACACTTATTTGTCCATAACTCTGCAACTGTTCGCAATATTTCAAAAACGAAAAATTGACCTGAATTGCCAGTATTCGCTAGAGTTCAGCTGTCTTGAAAAAAATCGACATTAGCAACGGTTTGGGGGAAAATGTACCCTGAATGTTGGCAACCGTTTGACTGTTCCATTTGCTCAAACCTTCACTATTTTTCCAGTAACTTCGATAAATGTGAAGATATTTGAAAAGTTTGAAAACCCCCAAAAAGCCCAAAGAACTAGGTGTAAAAACTATTCGGGCCTCAAATTGGATAGCGTCAACAACAAGGGAGTAAAACGAGTTCGAACTCAGAGTGTGAACCTTTTGACAAAAATTAAAAAGATCGCGAAACTCTGAGACAAAGTAAATGAGCTCCGAAATATCCCTTAAAACGGCAACAACGGATTTCGTGGCGATTTAGCTTCGTCTCTTTGGCTAGTTAATCACGATGTTGTCAGATTGAAGCATCACATAGCTGAAGAGGTCACACATAACCAAATATTTATCAATATCAAAATATCATCGATTTTGTGAATCTATCATTTACCCAAACAGTTGATCATTTTAAAACATTTATTGATATGTCCTCACTTTTTAAAATGTCGCTCAACTTTGCCCCTAATGACATCCGCGCAATATTACAAAATATTATTCAAAGCGGCGGCACACATAAAGAACAAGCTGAAAAGTAAGTATTTCTATATGAACAATTAGTTTCAGCCAATTGGTCCAATTATTTGATTCTAGGTATCGACAAGCTTTAGAATTAATTCACACTACTCGATCTAGTTGTTTGGTTGAAGAACTTCAGTGTTTTATTGAAGCAAGTAAGTCTGAAATAAGAATGAATGCATTTTTGCAACACAACCTGATATCAGACAGCACCAATACATCGGTGGCATATCAATTTGAAACGATCAGTTATAAATGACTGAAATATTTCGAAATCTTACAATGGCTATATCTGGGGAGCAAAAAAAGATAGAAAAGAACGCTGTGCACCGTTTTTATAATAAGTAAGAGAATCCAATGTGGGCATCATTGAATTTTCCTGTTCGGGTCATCATTACAAAGTTTCTGAACGATTTGTTGAGAGTGAGCTGTTGCTTGATAAGTCGATAAAGTTGGATTCATGGGAAACTGACCGAGAAGTTCAACTTGAGCTGCTTGCTCAAGTAGACTTCGCGCATTTTACTATAGATAGTACGTACTCGTATACTTATGGTATTATTTTAAGACTTTGCAGTACCTACTTAAAAACAGCAATTTTCAGAACCACAATGAAAAAATGAACTTCTCTGGTTTAAACTAACGAAATTTCAATAAATCGCTTAGGTGTGTTATGTTTTTTATACGGGAATTTTAAATGCTATCTTCTGAGAATAGAATTACAGGGTGTTGCGATCTAAATAATAAGCGAAGATCCGATTACTTTTTCACCCGACCTCTTATACTCAATCTGTAAGCAGCAGATTATTCAGCAAAGGAGATTTTTGCATAAAACGTTTTTCTGTATCTTTAGAAAATATCATATCATTGTAAAATTGACATTTCTTAAAAACGCTTATTTTGCGATCTTCAACGTGTTAAAAATAACGTACTTATTCAATTCTACGAATAATGAGACAAAATTTAACTTTAAAGGTAAATTAATATCATTGGCAATTAAATACAGGGTGTCCCGTAAGCACATGATCAAACGGGAACTGCGATATTTTTGCATCAAAAGAAGACGATCTGCAGAGCGAGAATTATTATATTTTGTCCTTTCAGTTGTTAATGAAAATGTAAGCCTGGTAATCTCAAGACAAATTCTCACCGAAATGAGTAGTTATTTAATGAGGCTTCCTGACGATGTATCAAAAGCAGTTTGTCACTACATGCTTGAAAAGGTCCAACCACGAGTAATTTCGTTTGAAGAGCAAGTTGCCAGTATTCGTCAACACTTGTCCGGCATTTACGAACGTCATCAACAGTGGAAAGAAGCAGCTCTAGTTTTAGTTGGAATTCCACTGGAGACTGGCCAGAAACAATATACTGTGGATTACAAGCTAGATACCTATTTGAAAATCGCCAGGTTATATCTTGAGGACGACGATCCGGTTCAGGCCGAAGCTTTTATAAATAGAGCATCATTGCTTCAAGCTGAGTCCAAAAACGAGCAACTGCAAATTTATTACAAGGTATGCTATGCTCGTGTATTGGATTATCGTCGGAAGTTCATTGAAGCTGCTCAACGGTACAACGAGTTATCCTTCCGGAGCATTGTCCATGAAGACGAACGCATGACCGCATTGAGGAATGCTCTTATATGCACAGTCCTGGCATCTGCTGGACAGCAAAGATCTAGAATGCTTGCAACCCTATTCAAGGATGAACGTTGTCAACAGTTACCTGCAGTGGCAATTTTGGAGAAAATGTACCTGGAAAGAATCATCCGTCGATCTGAATTGGAAGATTTCGAAGCTTTGCTTCAGCCACATCAGAAAGCAAAAACTGGAGACGGATCTACGATTTTAGACAGAGCAGTTATCGAGCACAACTTGCTGTCCGCTAGTAAGCTATACAATAACATCAGCTTTGAGGAACTAGGGGCCTTGCTGGAAATCAACCCCATGAAAGCAGAGAAAATCGCGAGCCAAATGATCACAGAGGGACGCATGTATGGTTATATTGACCAGATTGATTCGATCGTGTATTTCGAAAGTAAGTACATTTTATACATTTTCCTGCGTATTGTTTGCGTTTTAAGACGGATATAAATCCGGTTAAATAAGAAAAAATATTTTTGCAACGCAACAGTGATACAGTCATTGTGCTAGTATTTGTTTCCCAAAGTGCAAAAGGCAAAATCTTGTTCCCCTACTTAAAATTAAGAATTTGTAATTCAAAATAAGATTTTTTTCCATCAATAATCTGATTAGTAGGAAACTAATAAGCATCTCGCTAAATTTGTCTAACTTCCCGTCAACGCTCGTAATTTTTTTGAAATTAAAAAATTAAGATACTTTCAACAATGCAGTAAAATGCTTTCACCTAATATTCGCTTACTCATCGTAAAAAAATATCAATTTTTAGGTGTAGCGGAATAAGTTTTTATTTTGATTCAGTTTTGAGTCATAATTAACTAAATTATTGTGTAATCGAACAAACTATCTCGCATTAATGAGTTGTTGATCGTGAAACATTCCATTCAACGTTGCATGGTTTTCCTATATTTCCTAATATGGTTATATTATTGCTGAAAAAAAAACAGTTTTATCAGACGAGTTTCGCGGGCATTGTTTGGAATTGGTGAGCTTTTAGGCCGTCGTGGTTAATAATTTGTTCCCGACCTTTCGTAAACGTGAGTGGCTGCATCTTCAGAGGTGTTTCGCTCGAATGCTCACACTCGATGCATGCAATTTCGCATCAAACAAGCGAAGAAAATTGAGGTTTTTTTCTTCCACTATGTTCGCATATTTATACGATAAGGAAATGTGCAAACGTTTCATTTACCAAACAGTAATTATTGTCAATCATCAGACCTGATTAAGATGCTAAATTCTGATTCTTTTTGAAATGTTTTTTTCGAAATCTATCACTTTAGGTATAGAAACATAACATAGGTATATCATTTAAAAAAAAAATGTTTTTTAGATTATTGGACAATGTACAGAGAATTATCTTCAAAAAATCTACTTTCATCAATTAATATCTAGCAATAAAGTCATGAATTTTCAACATTGCATAATAATGCAGAAACAACTTTTCGACACAAACAGAAAATACAGGATCTTGGAATGCTACTGCCAAAATTTAAAATGTTCTCTATGAAGAGACTACAGTAATAAATATTAAATTAGAGCTATGCATTTGACCAAAATTATGGAAAATAAATAATTAGTAAATCGAAAACACTTATAGACGGGTATTCGAGAGACGATTTGTTATATTTCCACGCATAAAATCCGTTTTCACAATATTTATGAATCAACATAATAATAGGATACATTATGTAACTAGTTTGATGTTAAGTATTATGATTTTCTAGCACGAGAAACTCTACCTCAGTGGGACAAGCAGATCCAATCCTTATGCTATCAAGTCAACTCATTAATAGAGCAAATTTCTAAGGCCCATCCTGAATGGATTGGCAAAGTTATGGAAGATCAAATGGTGTCCTAAATTTATATATTATAAATATTACTTTCATTGTGTAAGTGTTTAATTGAGTTATGCAATAAAAAAACCATGCAAGTTTATTTGTTTTTCTTTATTAACAATAAGATTGAATGAACACTTGTCTGAAACGAATTACGCTTTATATAAAAATGTGTAGCTAGAGTTGAACGACACATAGTAAAATTGCCTTCTTCCCCAGGACTAACAAATACAACGAACGCAAGGGGTTACAAAAAGCTACACAGCTGGGCTTTAGAAATTGATAATTATCACACATAAAAAAACAAATCAGTGCTTTAATACTAACCGTTCCAGTAAAACAAAATTATATCTACATGAAGCGACTTTAATACGCTTGTGAATCTATTTATTTCAGATAATTTGGAACATGTGGTAAAATTTAAGCGTCTAATTCAAGAGCGAGACCGATTTTGTGGCCGCCTTGGTTGAAGTTCTTACCGTCGATTAAGGTAGAGAGTGTAAGAGTCACACCTGTAAAGATATTTAAATTAGTACATAATTGTGTATCCGTTAATCAACATCTTCCTTAATGTACTCCGTTGTTAATAATGGGCGAGTAGGGACTGACAATTGTCAGTACAGCTTTTGCTAAATTCGGACTAAAAATGGAAAATAATTTTCTATTGCTTGCTGCAATAAAACAGTTATCCATCAAAATTAACGACCCTCTAAAGTACATAAAAATGTTCTCCAAACGTTCCTTAAATAATTCAAGTGGATCAAAGAATTATACACATACTTTTTCCCAAAACATTTCGACTGAAGAACGATTACCGCCAAACCTCTAATCTACATAATCAAAATAGACTGCACTTTCGATTCTAAAGGTGAAGTATAAAATAAAGTCTTACCTTGACGCAAACGTTGTTGATATCCCAAACCTATTTGACTCTGATTGTTGACCTTCACGCGGAGAGAAGCTTCCTGGTCCAAGTCGTACTTGGCGCCAATTCCAAACTTGGTATTGCTGCTTCCAGAAGACCAATTCAAAGAAATACCAGTTTCCAATTGGGGGTTAAGCTTTTGATAGATAGAGCCACCAAAGTCTTGACCGTCATTCCTGGAAATAGCAAAACTTTCTTTCAAATACAGTTCTATTAAATCCAACATGAAAATTCTTACGTTTCAGGAGTAGGGGAAATATTGGGTCAGGTGGGGACTTACAACTGGGAACATTAATCTCAATGTAGCATTATTAACCTATGCTGAAGGGACATAATAATAATGTATAAACTAAGACCCAAATGCATATATTACAAGACATCTAAACATCGCGTTCTTGAAAACAAGTGAAATCAACAGAATAATTTAGAAAACAAGATGAAAACGGACTACAAACTAAGCTTGAAAAAAAATTCAAGTTTTAAAATTGCAAAAAAGATTATATATGACCTTTTTTATTTCCCTGCAATTTTCTGTAGAAATTTTGATAGAGTTAGAATTATTTGTGTTCAAATAATTTATTTAATTATATCGATTAATTATACTTCTTCGATAACAATTTCAGAATCATGCGATGATATCGGTGCGTGAGTTATTATATTAATCCCAGTCGAGTTCTAGCAAGTTAAATCATTCAGTTCAAGGCAATATGAACAGCTGGACAGTTGTTTCACACCTACATTGAGCATAAATGCAAATAAAAAATAGTTTATTGACAAAAAAACAGCGATATATTTTGTGGTAGTAAGGTACATTGTACTTAGGGTGACGTATATAGAAGCAATTTATTCAACCTCCCCACAATAGTTGATGGACTTGAATCACTGTTACGAATACGTAACTTGATTTGGTTTCAAAATTTCAGTAGATGTGTAAAAATAAGGAAGAGAGTAAAAACTTAGAGGTATATAACCAAAAAATACAGATCTTCTATACGGTGACATTTCTAAAGGCGCGATATTCAGGCTTCCAGTTCTAACGCAAACCCGAGTTTATGATCGCCTGCTTGATCTAAATTTTTGCCGTCAATTAAAGCAGACAACCATATTGTTACACCTAAAACAGAAGAAAAACATTGGGTAATTTGCATCAGCATTTCAATCGAAGTGATTTAATTGTGTACAACAAATTAAATTTACGAAATTAATTTACTAATAATATACAGAAAGTTGATCAATACGTTTAGGTACTTACACAGGGGGGATTGAAAATTTTACTTTCATTGGTAATCGCACTAGTTTTATGAATCAACTGCAAATGCATGTGTCTTATCATCTACCTATGTGATTGTTGGTAAGGATGTATGTATGATCCGGGCCAAATTTCCGTTCATTACTCCTTTGTGGGAACAAAGGCTTGTACTTATTTATGTGATTATGTACCTTGATTTGATTGATTGATCGCTCAAAAACGGTGCATATGCGCACAAGATTAAATTGATAAAAATTTGTCAATTTTTCCCCTTGTATACCTTATATCTATATGTGTCTAAATCATGATCACATTGTAAATACAGGGTGATTCAAACTTGCCTTCATTCCTCTGGGGGTTTTGGTCCAGAGTGTTTAGGGTGTACAGGAAAAGTAGTAAAAAAATAATTCCTATCAAAAACTGAAACAATTGCAAAAACTAAATCAGAAAATCGGCAACAATGTTTTTCGAGATAATCTGCCTCATTAACATTGCGTAAATACCTGTTGCTTCTTACATATCAAGAGCTCCGGTGAAAATGAAATATTGTTTACCTCCTTAAACAGTTATGGCTCAATGCCATGGCCCTATCACCCTGTATATTATAAAAAAGTCTTCCGCTCAAAGACTTCTTTCTAATGTATTTAGTCTCACTGAAGGTTACATTTCAGTTAGTACACTAATCATACAGAATGTTGTTTGCTTGAGTTTTACTTTGAGTTATAGGATAAGTATATATTTCTTACCTTCTCGTAGACGCTGTTGGTAACCTAGGCCTATCTGTCTGTTACTGTTCACCTTAAACCGAAGCGACGCGTCCGGATCGAGCTGATATTGCGCTCCAACCCCAAAAAGTGTCTTACTACCACCATTATCCCCATCGCCACTGTTTTCTTTGTCGTCACTTTCACCACCACCGTTAAACCAGTCTACCATTATACCATACTCAAGTTTTGCATTTACGGCTTGGTAAATGGATCCACCGTAGTGGGCTTCTCCGCTTTGATCATCTGCATCGTTGCCGATCCAATCGCTAGATAAGTCGAAACAGGGTAACCAAACGAATTCTTTTATAAACACGTTGACTCCTTATTTTATCGGACACCCTTTTTTAACGAAAGTAATGTAATGGTCCAATTTTTGAAGATCCAGATAAATCGCGTTACGTTTGGTGGAGTAGAACTATTCGATTCAAATAGTAGTGTTGTCAAACATCTTTGATTTCGTATCCATACATATAAAACTGAACTTCTAATCTAATCTAATTACTAATCCAGTTACGATACAGACAAAATCAAAAATAATCATTTTAATTGCAAGGCATGCTTATTGCAGTTAATAAATGTCGATTTTTTGGCAAACTTTAACATCTGGTTTTTAAATAAGGATTTTCGAATGTAGTTCTTACAGCAAACTCATATTATGTTCAATTCTCCATTGTCCTCTAAAATGTTTGCTCTGAAATCTAACTGCCCAAAATGAACGTATGCAACAAATCATTCCAAATTTCAAAACGCTTCCGTTATATGCAACAACTGATCTTATTTACAAGTTTAACAAAAAGCTAAATAATGTAAGAACAGTTACTTCGTAAGTAGAAAATATATAAATTGTTGGTAACATGATTTAGTAAAAATATTCCAACCGATCATAAACAGGTAAGTACCAAGAAAGTTTTAAGACATTGTTAGATAATCTTGATGTAACATTAACAAAATCAGCAAAACATAAACAATAATTCTCAGATCGACGAGGGTGGTCCGATAAGTACTGAGCCTACAAAAGAAAACCGAAAATTTTGGATAGGTGGCGATTTATTTCTCAACATAGACTCCTTTTAATTAGATACACTTAATCCAGCCAGGCTCCAACTTCTTCAACCCATCTGAAACATACGTTTCCTCGAGGTCTGCATATAAAAGTCAAGTACTTATCGGACGGTCCTCGTAACAAAATCCCCTTACAAAGGCCCGCTATACACTCGATTCATGAACAGCACAAATCAGGGCTTGAAAGCTCAAGCCAATTCTCGCTTCATGGCATTTTCCGTTCTAAGCAAATTTGATAAATTTGCTACAGAGTTCACAAAGAGTTAGGATAATTAGAATACTACATGAGCAACGTTTGCAGAGTGTTCAGTATTTTCCGATGGACTAGTGTCGATAATTCACAACAGAGAATTATCAACAAAATCATGGATTTCATAATAATAAACTGGCTGCTACCAGTTCGGTCACAAATCGGCACTTACGTGTGTAATTGTATGCAACACAACTTTTCATTCTCTCAGCCAAAATAACATTTTCAGAATTTCAGTATAACATTTTGTTTCAACTCCTAGTTATGACCATTTCAAATAGTGAGAAAGAACAAAACAAACTATATACTTACACATTCGAATGCAGAGTAAAGTCTCCCGATGTGAAACCAAGGGCAAAGTTACTTTTCGTCAATTTCTTGTTGTTAACATCATAACCAGCAAGGTATCCGGCCAGCCAACCTTGGTATCCAACGACGGCAGAAGCGGAAACAATTGGTCCGTCAGCTCTGAAGTCTGAATCAGCATTGATGGCCACTTGCTTGTTCACGTAAGCAGCTTTCACGTTGCCAGTTTTTTGTCTGTAAAAATAATAAATTAAAAATGAGTTTTATGTTTAAATTAGTATCAACACCAATGAAATACGACCAGCTTTACAAGTTTTTTTTTTTCAAATAAATTTTAAACTTCTATGAACTAATTAATGAAAGAATGATTCCCTCTCCAACCAAATGTCCAATTATAGATGCATTGATGAAACAACACAAATAAGCTAAATTTATTTTACATGAAATTGTTATTAGGTATGTAATTTAAAATTTTGAAGCTGACTGACGTACGACCATAATTAAACAAACTTTTTCAGAAACCACCCTTCCACGAGTTAGAAAAACCACAAAGTAATTAACTTGTCCTTAATTGTTAAAGGATGTCATCAAATATTTTTAATCATGAGTATTGTAGACTTTACAACGGCAAAAACAAGTCACTTTCATTAATTATAAACGTTAGATTTATTAATATTCAGGATATTACTTTATAAATAGTATCAGCTACCGACAAAATCAAAGGAGTTCGCCATATTTTGCTTATATATGATGTAACATCAAATTAGCCAGAACCAAAATATCAAACTTAGAAACTGTTCCGATATCTAGATATGTCTTTTTTTTCAAGACATTGAGTTAGTAGTAAACTAGCGCAGTTACTTAGTTCTTTTGGAGTATTGTATACGGATGACGACACGACGAGTTTGAATCGTAACTAATAAAATTTCTTGCCGTTTTATAAAAAATTTAAAATTTGCACCATAAAGTACTATCAACTGATTTGATAAAAATATATTAAAACCTTTAAACATCAATTTCTATTTCAATAAGATAAAAATACTTAATATGCATAGAGAAATTGGCCGAATCAATAAACTCCACTTGTTTGAAATGATAAGATATCAAGTGGCACGACACGCAGTGCCTCCAAATGGCCTCCTTTTACACTCCCCATTAAAAATGTTAGTTTGGGATTAAGTAATTTGCAGAAAACATGCCTCTGAAATATTTATTAACGTTATCCAAATTTAATTTTCATGACTTTTCGAAAGGTCGTTAAAACTCATATAATTATTCGAAAACCATGGTATCAAATAAAAATTTCAAATGTAATGTGGTTACTACAACTTACATAACCGGGTGTTAGAAGTCATTGAAAATTGAGAACACAACTAGATGTTAATTTCCATGGTCGTAAAATAAAATTACTTAAAATTATTTTTGAAAAGCATATAATTTTTGTTCGTTAGTGCAATGTTTCGATGTCTCGGTGATTCTCGAATTTGAACCAGTCTGTACATATCATGCAAACCATGCGACATTAAAAATCACAATAATAACTCACTATAACTTTAGACTGTACAATCCCTTAAAATACCCGTTGGAAAAAGCCCGAATATTATAAGCTGTAATGTGAATGAGAAATAGCTTAAACAGAGACGCCACCAGCATATTCAAGATGTTCCAACCAAGTGCCAGTAACAATACAACATATGGTTAGTTTTTGACAATACGCGAAGCCGAGGTGATATAATTTTAAAATGTACGATACCACACATACAGGGGTCTCCAAAGAGCGTTCGTCTTAAGTTTGCCCCAATCTTGCTCAGTATTAAATTCCACATTAACATTAGAATCTTGAATATGATACTGTCCTCTGTAAAGCAATTCATAACTAGTAAGTTAACGAATAATTCGTTATTACATTTCGTAATTTATTTTTAAAGATATTTTAGGTAATTTCTAGCTAATTTTTGAGGAAAAAAATAATGTCAGATAAGCAAACGTCCTTCGGTCGAGAAAGATAAATTTACAATGATTTTCAAACGTAAAACTTTCGATGCATAAAAGCATCTGCAACGAGTATTAATAAGTACTGCAAGATTTTAATTAATAAAACAATTATTAGCATAATGTTGGGTTTGATAAAATGTTTTGAGATATTAGGCCATATATTTTTAAAGCTGATATAATATTTGCAAGAATAACCTGCGTAGAGAAATTTGAACAAAAACCTATGTTATGTATGTTATGTATATGTTACTCACCCGGTTTGTGGGGCAAAGTTCAGTGCAGAAGACAGTTTTAATCCAGGAACCAATTGGTCCTGTACGGCCATTTCAGTGCTCAACGTATTGTCTGTGGTCCATTTCTCAGTAAATGTTAGCCCATAGTCTTTCACTTTGTATTTGGTTTCCAAAGAGCCAGCAACCTAGACAAACGAAGGAAAACACTATTTAAAAAGCCATAAATAAAATAATTCTACCTGCCTCTTCTAAGATTTTTGTTAATTTACTGTTTAAAATAATAGTGACAACGAGTGATCATGTTATTTATGATTCTTACCTTTCCAGACTCTTGATTGGAAGACCCACCAGTGGCAAATTCAACACCTGAGGCGGATTTGGTTTTGATGTCTAACTTGACTAGGCCAAAGTGATAGCCCTTGTTGAAAACATCTTGGGCTTTTTTTCCAAGGTCAGAGTATGGTGGTGGAGCCATTTCTTCTGGGATCTGTAAAGATGCGAAAATAGTTTAATACCTAGAATTCAGTTACTTAAAAATAATAGATAGTCTAACAACTTTTGACTCTTACGGCGTTGCTTAAGTGCGTATTAATTTTGTTTTTACTAGATTATAATGTTTCTTAACTAAGTTTAATAAACAATAAAAGCATTAGATCTAAGAAGGAAACACTGCAAACGGAAAGATTTGCTAACAAAAATGGAAAATAAATTACACATTACTTCGACTCTTCGATCTTCACTATTCAGTAAGTGTCGGCAATAATTTATAAAACATTTACAGTATCTTAACTATAAGTTTCTTTCTTACTGTATCAGAAACATCAGCGAGTTTTCTAAAACGAAGACAAAACAAGAAGAAAATGGCAAATTTGAACTTATACTCATTAATGGAGGAAATAGTAAAGTAATTGTTATCAGTCGATAAGTAGGAAAACATAGATTAGAACTTTGACCATAGTTACTTGAAATATGTAATAATAATTGCAATTAGCAATGTATTATTTAAAAACCTAGTAATTGCTTGTATTCAAAAAGGTCGGCATATACTTGTAAGTGTTTTATACCTACCATTTGCCAAGTTTAAAATTAACCACTTAAAACATTGAAAGTAGATTGCCAATAAACTAGGAGACTAGAAAAACATATTTTTAACATTCTCGTTGAAAATATGGTATATTCCAGAGGAACGGGCAAATAATGTAATACATACATCCGAGAGAATTTTTTTTTTTCAAAAATGTCCCAACAAACAAATAACATCTTTCTAGTAAAATTTATAAATTCTGAACTATTTTACATTAGATTTCGATACATACATATTTGCGACAACTGTGCACGTTGATTACTAAATAGTTTTGTGTGGCGTTTATCGTTTCTTATTGAGAATGAGTTCGTATTTAGATACTGTGAATCAGATGATACAGATTTCAAAAAATATGTAAATATTTGAATACTTTTAGCTAAATGGACGAACCGACTTTTATCGGCATACCGCGTGATTATTTACCAGAAGTCAAACAAGGCATGTGCCATTTTATTTGTCCAGCTCACACTGGATGCGAGAAGTAAATAATGAGCACTATTATATGTTAATGTGTGCAAAATGTCTAAATTTGACCTTTTAAGCTGTTCCTTTTTAATGTTCTAGAAAATTAGCGTCGACACTGACGTGGTTGAACAATTCAACAAATAAAAAATCAAAACAAATGTAATTTAAATGCCACCGCAGAGTTTTTTAGAACAATTGAAGGTTTTTAGGCATTAACAAATAGTTAATATATCAGAAATGTATATCAATGCGACCCCATTTTCAAAGACAGTAGTTAGTGGATGCAGGTAAATTCGTAGCGCTCTAAATAATCCAATAGCATAAGATACAAGAACCTGTTACAGCTTGATAAATATCTAGGTGTAATACGTGAATGAGGTTTCAGTATACATTATATAATTAGGCATTATATTACACACAATATGTCAATTATACATAATAATAAACAGCTGATGTTTCGTTAAATAAATACTCTTTTATGCTATTACACAGTGAAGTTACAGTAGGTAATAGTTATGCGGTAATGTAAAATAACTCAAAGAAAAAGTAAAACATTTGAAAAAACACGACACAAGCTTGCTCCTTATTATTGATTATTGATTAATGAAGGAAATTAAAAATGGTAAGCTTGCTACAAACACATGAAAAGCAAGAAAAATGTAGTTGTTCCAAAAAATTTGGTCATTCAGACAATCAAGTATGATGAGAAAAACATGTATAGAATATTAACCAATAATATATGTTTGTGTGTTATCCACGGCAACTATATTACAAATTTCACGTTAATATTACGTATGTTTTCAGTATATTCTTCAGAGATCTTTACAGGGCTTCTAGTACACTAACTCCACTAAATTTCAAGAATTATTTATACGAATGAATTCAAGTAATTGAACATGCCGCTAAATCAAAAATACTAATATGTACTGTATTGCCTATTAATTGCTTCTTTACAGTACAGTGCGCCTGCGCAATCTGCCTACGGATTTCTACGGATTTTTCAGAAGCAATATACGAAATTTGGTAAGAAAAAGTTGGCATCCCTGCAGATAATCCGCCAGCTCACTATCGACATTCTATCGACGCGCTGAATACCTCAATCATTTGACGTCGTTAGAAAAGATGCTCAAACTTTTACAAAAAACATAACTATTATGCATCTTTCGCATGTGAAATTTTGAATTGATGATACCTAAAACACGATTGAGCAGCAAATAACACCGGACAATCTCATTTTCCTGCATAAATGAGTGATTTTGAAAAAGCGAATTTCAAAAGTTTGTGAGTTCTTTTGCTTAATTTATGGACCACCCACGCAATTTTTTCGCTGAAAGTGCTTAATTTGAAGTGTTCTTCAAGATAAGAAGGGAAAAACTACAAATTCGAAAAGACTCAAACGACAGGATCACCAGACTGACGATATTTTGCACTAAAGAAATTAAAGTTAAAGTTGTAAAAATTAAGATAAGATTTACAAGCCACGCCTAATCCAGCCTGCATCCTTAGAATTTTGATTTATTAAGCGAGTTGTCAGCTAAAAATCTAATTTCAATCAAACGTTTATCTTAATTGGGAACTACGCTCCATCTCACGATGAACGACAAAAGTAACGTCACTAAGGTCATGGCAGGTCACATGGATCGAAAACATGGCGAATTTTTTCGGATAATTCGTATTCGGCTTGATTAAAAAACCGAACTGATAATAAATGAATACGCCCAAGCAATACGTTTATCGAAAGAACAGATATTCACCTTTTGACAAACTATTTTAAGGAAATGGAGAAAATCAACCTGGATTCTTCATTCTTACATAATCAACGATCTGATTAGTCGCCCAATTGTGTCACTTCCAGGTAGAATAAGAGGGCAAATCAATTTCCAAACCAACCATACCCTACTAACGACTCGGAAACGAATTCGCCTGCTTTTGATAACTTTGCAATAAAACAATTGAGTAGATATTGAATTTGACCCCAGCTCATTGAATGCCGTGGTACCGTTACGAGTGGAAATATGCGAATTAAGACCTACCTTAAGCTCGAAGTACTTCTAGAACTGAATAGCAATTAAGGTCTGATGAACAGCCCCAAACTAACAAAATTCACAGGACAAATTCTAGATTTTTAAATTCTGATTACCACCCGGGCCGGTGACGTTTCAGCTGCTTGGTTAGAAGTTGCAAACTAGACTAAATCAGCGGGTGTTGCCGGATTTCGCATCGTATCGTCCGGACAGTTTTTATTTTACCGTTTTATAACAGAATCAAATTGCGGTGAATGAGCACTAGTTTGATCTTACTGATTTAACTGATTTGTTCATGTACAGCTCAAAACATCATTAGTCATAAGATAATAATGTTATTTATCCACGACTCTAAGACTATTCTCATTATTAATTGTACTCGAAAATATGGAAATATAAAGTAGCAGGATATGCATGATACAATGAATACAAGGTAGGATCTTGCGTCGATTTGCGTGACGTCAGTGGAAATCACTACCGGGCGTGCTTTTTTTCTGTCTGCTAAATGTGATTAAATATAGCTTATTTAGTCTTTGTCACATTTAATTATTTTTTTATAAATCTTCCTTATAATTAAAAGATGCTTTGCAGCAGATTTTAGACTTGAAAACGTAAGATTATTGCAAAATTTCATGTTTTCCGTCCCGTTTAGGACCATCGCTAAGGAAATGTTGCAGTTTTCTGAAAAAATGCTTGAATTCAAGAAGTTTTAGATTTGCGTGATTTTTTTTTGAGTTGCAAAATCCACTTGAACATGACGCTACTTTTTTCGAGGTTGCTCAAGAACCCTTTGAGCCACAGAATTCGTTTTGGCATCGTTGGATAGAGAATTGAAAAGTCGATTCAGTCGACACAACGTGAGTGAGGAACTTCGAGTAGTTTTGACCCAGAAAGCGAAATTTGAATATCAAACACTTAGGTGCAAGATTATGCCAAAATTTCATGTTTTCCGTCCCCTTTTTGCTCGTATCTCGGAGGCAGAATGAGCAAGAACGCTCATTTGTACATCATTCTAGACAGCAATAAATGGCCTTTTAGAAAGTGAACGATGGATGGGGAAATGTTGACAGTTTTCTCAAAAAAGGCTTGAATTCAAGCAGTTTCCGACCTTAACTAACATAACCGACACTTAAAAGTAGCAAACAATCTAGAGTACACTTTCCAACTACCAAACGCAAATACTCAGTTTTGTCTACAAAATTCCCAAAGATGCCCAAACGCATTGACCCCATGATGCAATGAATTCATTGTACGACAATGAATTCATTGTATGATACAATCAATTCATTGTATGAACAGTGCATTCAATCATTGTGATACAATTAATTCATTATTTCGTTTGGCTCAACCCGATTTCTCAAATGACACTCTGGCAACACAGTACGCTAAAACGCTGAAAATCAGAGATTTTGTAAAGAATTATTTTGGGTATTTTTCTTCCCAATAAGCCCAAATCAAGTCCCAAACGCGATTTTCAAAGCACTGAGCTACAATCCTGCTCTTCATATAACCGTCCATTTTTGAACTATTGCGTTTTGAACTCAGTGAAAATCTGTCTAGGTTACATGCATTTTAAATGGGCTGTTTACTTTACCAAAGTGGTAACCAGTGACGTCATGTGCGCACGAAAATCGAATTTTCGACCGATTAATATCCTACCTTGTATTCATTGTATCACATGGGTAAGACTATCAATATTTAGATTGACACAGCGATACCGATACGGTTTGCCGTGTCAATACACCGTGTCATGCGTAAACTAACACCGCCACAATACACATCTATCGTATTATAAATGCTGTGTCCCATGCATCCGTTTATACGATGGTACGATGATACGAAAGTGTTTCTATTGGTTGGAGATACTTTCGTATCGTCGTACCATCGTATAAACGGATGCATGGGACACAGCATTTATAATACGATAGATGTGTATTGTGGCGGTGTCGGATGACTGTATTATGCATTGCGCTCCTTTTTGCTTATTTATCAGAATCATATTAAGCTGGAGCACTGGATAGAGGAGTAAATGACTCTTTGAAGAGGCAAAGAAGTGTAGATATAAATTTTGCTCGGTTTTTTCTTCACTTGGGCAATTGGGTAAACAGTGGATTTTCAGGAGTTGACGCACACTAATAGATACGAATACGAATGATGCACACTATTTTTTTCTTTAATAAATTGGGTAGCTTGCAGGTACCCACGTTACGTGCAAAAATTAACAAAATTATTTTTTTGCAAAACATGCATCTTCCTTAGCTATTGATCTCTGAGTAATTTCGCTGAAACATCTTTATGCGTTTTAAAGAAATTTATGATTTTGCATTTTTTAAATTCAACACCCTATAACTCAGTAACGAAGCATTTTATTTGTGAGCTATCGTTTATATAGCAAACTAGGGGTATTTTCCGAAGTAGAATACATTAAAATAATGCCCCTCCTGCATGAAACACCTTGTATATTGCAATAAAAGGGAACTATCGATCGCCACTTCCTTGTTTTAATATCGCTGTGGTCTATTTGTCTATTTTTTTTAATAACTAATATACAATTACAAACGGTACTAACTGAACACAAATTTTCATTGCGTTCGCGACGCATAGACCACATCAAACGGTGTAACCTCGCATCACAGGCTCATGCGGTTCGAACGGATCATGTGTGAGGAAAAGTTTCTCAAAATCATATATGTAATACTATTGTGTGTGGAATTCAATGGAAAAAATTGTGAGTAGTCGGTGTATGGAAATATTTTTCACCCATAAAAAGAGCAAGTGCATATTAGCGATACCGTTGTGTACTTATCGTTGTCTGCCAATCGATTGAATTCGCCACATCCTCGTGATCAACTAGCTACCGCTTATTGGTTGAAAAAATTATGCAACGGTGCAGATTATTATTGTGCTAGGCCGTTTTGATTTCGGTCAAATTCGAACATATTACATATATGCTCAAAATATTGTTTATTCGGAACGGCGTGCGCGTTCGGATTGGCGTTTGGATCTGTACCCGGCTTAATGCGCGATTCGTACAATAATTTTGGCTATCAATTTATATTAAGATGAAATGTGTAGCAAAAATGTTATACATTAGGTAAATGCAAAGTAGGAATTATCTTACCAAAGGCGGTGGCGTGGCTTCAGCAGACTTTTTCCCGCCGAACAATCCGAAACCTTTTCCGCATTCCACCTGGCGAACCTCTGCATGTGCCGAATCAATTTTTCCGCTCGCATCAGATAAGCGGGGACAGCTGTATAACTTTTCTTCAATTGGAGGTTTACATGGATTCTCCATTATTAGAAAAATGAGTTTCTCTCTAACTAATATTTTGACAAATCCATCCTAAATTTTGACAACACTAGTCGATTGTTTAAATAGCGTGGATATGGTGCACAGCTTCAGGTTAAATTTGAAATGTACTGCAAACTATTTTGCCAATTTCGACAATTATTATATGCGTATATTATTGATAATATTTGCAAAGCAAATGATGCTGGAGACCTTGAAAATGGGAAACGCCTAAAATTCACTGTTGATTTTGAAATTGCTAGGGACTTTGACGTTCCAGTCAGGCACATTTCAGGTTGGTGGTTTTTATGTGTTGGCCACCATGCGACCAAGCTAACTTGTCATAATTTGACTTACTTGTTTTGAAATGTTTGTGTACCTTTTGAATGAGTAAAATAAAACACTTTTACCTTCAATAATGGCCTCACCTATCCCAGGTAAGCAATAGAAAGTTTTTTTAGCAAGCATATTATTATTAATGAAACACACTAAAATTAGTTTTACTTTGATTTGATTTAGCCAATTTTTATATTAACCCTATGATGCTGAATTTAAATATAGCTTAAAAAGACACGCTTTTCTCCCTTTTACACCCTTGAGCAAATGTTAGGCAATGTTATTCATCACGTTCTATTGTTATTAATAGATCAAATCGAGATTCAAAGCTTTTCGGACAATTCAAATTCGTCGGTTGAAAACATGGAAATTGAAACTCTGGATGAATTCACTGGAGAATTAGAGCTACAAAGTAGTGTTATAACCACTGAAGGTTAGTATTTAGTATTTAAGCACTTTTGGATTAATTTAGTGTTTGGATGCGATCTCATTTTATATGCAACCTATCTATATAAAACAACATGTGCGCTGAAACTTAATGTACTGTAAACTATTAGAAAATTCCACTCCCGGTATATTTTAAATGAAACGCACCTTACGACAACCTAAGTTGCGAAAATCATGTAAAATCCTTTACTCGAGGCTGCAAATTTAGCAGTTCTAAACATTTATGTGCTGAATAAATACTTTAGATCTTGTCTTGGTAAAAGCTGTACAGTCGACCACAGATAAAAGTAGATGACTACCAAATGCGAGTTATTAAGCCTTGATAGACAGTCATAATAATTATAGATTTGTAATCTATACTTTTTTCATGGAAGTGTAAGTTCGAAGGAATGATGAATATGGTAACCATATAAACTTCTTATCGAAAGAGGCTGTCTACAGAAATCCTAATACCAATAACTAACTAATTAACCATTTAACTAACCAAATATTCGGACATGTTATTCTCGACCTGTGATCAGCCTTAAATCAGCAGTCGGTCTTTTGATAGATTGTTTTAGATTTGGTCTTGCCAATATACATTGTACAAATATTTGATATTGTGAAAGCTACGTTAAATGTGAATATGAAAGGCTACCCTTTCAGGTGCCAAGAAATACTGAATTATTTCCTAAAAAATCACAGAGTATTTTCTGATCGCTTGTTTTATATTATAAAAAACTTAATAGTGTTTTCAAAACTTGCCAACTTGTCCTTCAAAAAAGTATGTTAGGTTCCCTAAATCAGTTTGCGTTTAACTATTTCTTTATATCTTAGTTGCTTTGCTCGGATTTTTTTATTAGACTACAGTTTGTATTTCAACTCTCAAAAATAAGGGGACTGTTAAGTATTGTTCTCACCTCGATAATATATTAATTTACCGGCAGTTCAAATGTTCTCTACTTACATATATATACGAGTATATTTGGATCGAAGTTGAATTCTAGGAAAACTACATGGTTTACTTGTTTCTAGTTCTTTCTTACAGTTCTATATTGGTTTATTTTCTATATATTATTTATTTTTTCTATATTATATGGCTTACTTGGTTCAGATGAAAAGCTTTTATATTTATAGAATCTCAAGAAGCTGAAGACACCGAGCCGGAGGATGAAATGATGCCAATTGAAGAGCTCGAGACGCAGCAAATTGACATGCACTCTGAAGATCAAGCCAGAGTGGTTGAGCAAGTAAATGAGAAGAAGAGTAAATCATCTAGCAGCGTGCCGCCCTTGAGACTTTTAAATATAGCACCCAAACCAGAACAAGTGCCAATTACTGTCAAATCGGTTGGAGGACAACCTTTAATTTTAGTTCCAGGTAAGTAAAATAGAAACAATTTATAAACAGACTTTAATATTTCAAAATTTAAAAATAGACACTTGTTTAATAAAACTCTCTAAACAGGTTCCACAGGTGCCCAGACTATAAAATTAGTTAATCCTCAAGGACAGGAAATCAACTGGGCAAATTACTCAATAAGTCGCCCTATCACGATTAAGCAAACAGGAAAAGCCATTAGTACAAAACCTGTTGTACCGCAAAGTCAACCCAAGCAGATATTTATGAAAAAAATTATAACTTCGAATCCGGGGCAAAAAACTATTACGAAACCGATAAGTTTTAATAAATCGGGTCAACAATTTATGGTGGTACAGAAGAGTTCTGATCAGCCACAGCAAATAAAATTGGTGCAATCAGCAAATGTTACTGGCATATCTCCTACGCCTCCGGTCCAAAGCAAGACGATCACCTTGCAGCAGGCTCATGATATGGGGCTTTTAGGAAACGCAAAAATTATTCAAGGAGGAATACAACCAATAACCAAAAGGACGGTTTTGATGAATAAAAGCCAACCGAAAACCATCAAATTAGTGCCACACAGCGCTGCTTCCCAAATACTTGGTACCACAAATAGCGTGAAAACCATTTCGTTAGGACAGATCAAATCGCCCACTAAAATATCTCCTGGCAATGTAACTAATGTGGCCGGTACGAAAGGAGCACAACGAATAATTTTCAAAAACGCCGGTGGAAATCAGCTTTTACCAGCGGGACAGTTAATTCATATGACTGGGACCCAAGGCATCACCAATGGGCAGATTCATCAGATTAATGTGCCAGGAAAAGGGGTAAGAATTTGAAAAAAAAAATTTATATTTAGTATTTATGGCATAAGGAACTTAGGTAATCAATTTGGAAAAAAATGAAACTAAATAATATACAGGGTGTAACAGCTTTGATATAGCACTGGGATCTCAGGAACCGTAAGGGATACGAAGTCGATTAAAGTAGGGTAAGGTGGCGTCCTTCCTAAATATTCGATTTTGTATGTAGGAGTTTATTTAGAACGATATTTGAACGTTATACTGACAAATTTGGATTAACTTTGGAACTGGATAAATTCTAACCGCTGCGAGCGATTTGTTTCCTGTTTGAAACGTTATTGAGTGCAATTATTTTTCAATTAGTGCCTGTGTGTCCAATAAATTAGTGTTTCAGATAAAGGTTCTACAGGGTGGCAAATGAAACAATGCAAAATTGGTAAAAGTAGTTCTAAAAAATTAACTCTTGTTGGTTTGAAGTAATAATTTTTTCGATTTTTGAAACTGAAACTTCACAGTCGACTTTTCGATACGAATTCAAAATACCGGGTGGCATGAATGACCGAAATATTTGAAAGTAAACTTCACTTGGTTGAAAGTCTTCCAGATTGACCGAATTGAGGGGCAATTTCATTCGGATTATTTTTTTATGCAACCCTGTATATCGATTTTTGTCTTCAATTGTCTATGAAATTCAAGCTTCAACTTGAGGCCTAGATCGTGACAATCGATCCAAAAGCAGAAGTTATCGCTGCAAACGAAAGTTGCGAAAAGTTCATTTTTGAGACCACTCTGTAAATAGAAGAGATGGCCGAAAAATTCAAAAATGTTTCGAGCTTTTTAGGTTTACAAGGTTTACCTTTACATTTTTGGTGTTACAATCCAAAGAAAAAATATTTTTTGGTCTAACTTGGATTATGCCATTTTGGCATTTTTTCATTGGCCACCGTGTAGAAAATTTAGCTGAGGTGCTGATTTTTACTACAACATGGACTAATAGAAGACAAATGGTGCTAAAAACGTTTCAAACAGAAACTCAATCGCTCGAAGCAATCAGATATTATCCAGTTCCAAAGTTAAGGCAAATTTGGCTATGTAGCGGTCATTTTGTTGAGCAGTTTATTAGAGATAATAATAATAATATCAGGTCTCGAATTCAATTGTTGGTTTGTCAGCTACTTAGTAGCCCTTGCGGTTTACGTGATACCAATGATAAAATCTCTAATTTGTTACACGCTTTCGGCAGTGGCTAATTTTTGCAACAAAGAAAATATATCACTTTTATCGAAGACAAAAAAAATATGACAAACAAATAGAAATTTTCTTCGTTTAAAAAATTGTAACGTTAACACTAATGCAGTTCAAAAAAGAATGCCCTTTGATGTAAGAATTAATTGCTTGTATTCGTTTTCAAAGCATTTATTTCGTACAAATCCTGTTCTGTCCTGTTATTAGTTGTATATTTCGACTTATTAACAGGTTCAATATATAAAATTTGTTACCACTACATCGGTGGAAAGCAGCAGTTCTACAGTTACACTAGTTAACACAATAAAATCAACTGCAAGTACTTCCGCAGCAGGCCCAGAACTGCAAGACGTGAAGGTAACATTGATTTGGTTGCCAATTTGCACAAATTAATAATGAACGTATGCGATTTTATTATTTTGAAAAATAATGAACCAGATTTTAAAAATGCCTGTTTTTAACAATTTAATATAGTTATCATTTTCGGCTGTATTACAGTACTTTCTGTCTTTTAGCCAGTCATCACCAGTAAATTTATTACTAAACCATCCACTGGAAATCTGAAGCCGGCACAAGTAATGATTGTTCCCGCAGGCTATATTCCTACGAACATGCAACAGGTAATTTAAAAAAATCCAAACAAAAATAAAACCAGGAGAATTTCATTATTAGCCCTCTGCATACAAGATTGTATCGTCCGCTCAAGTTTATATATCATAGTATTAATAATACCACAGTTATAATTTGCTTTCCACTTTGGTAATAATTATTAGAACTCTTTCAAGTGCTGCAATGCCTTTTTCAAGCAAATTTGGCATTGAAAAATATTAAAGTTTGTTCAATTTATTTTCTTAATCAGTATAGATGTGTACATTACCGTGTTTCATTTAATAAATTGCCTTCCGTGAAGAAACTGAGTGAAAAGAAAACACATTGAATCGTGAAACTCACAGACTCGGACTTATGCGCTGAAAATCAACTGAAATGTGCGTGAGACATTATTCGAAACAAATAAATACTATAATAGTATTCTTTTTACTAGCAAAGTTTCCCATTAATTTCAGATGCAAAAGGTAGCAATTGGCCCTAAACAACCTGTTTTACACCCGAAGCAAGAGGCGGCTCACAGTGTTGTCGTGCCAAGGACACTTGTTGCAGTAGATAAGAGTAAGTTTTCTTTTAATCAGCTAAGATGAATTTTTATCTTACATTTTTTATCAACATTGAAATTTTAAAAATAATTTTTAATTGATTAAAAATTTAATTTTTGGTATTTTATAAACGAAAATTTTTCCAATATACTTTATTCAGAGGGCAGAAATCAAATAATTAACGGCACTCAGTCGAGTTTGGGCCAATGTCTTAATTTATTTCCTTGATATTCTTTATATACATGACTAGTAAACACGTGCTCAATGTGAAACATTTTTGTCATCAGCCATATCACCAAAATCAACCTCCTCAAGTTCACCAACAGCTGCGACTACAACAGTTTCCACTACCGAAAGCTCTTCAAATACAACAAATGGTATTCGACCTCGTAAACCCTGCAATTGCACACGGTCAAAATGTTTAAAACTTTACTGCGACTGTTTCGCTAATGGGGAATTTTGCTATCTATGCAACTGCATGTGTTGCTATAATAATCTGGAGCATGAAGACACTCGAAACTTGGCAATAAAAGCTTGCTTGGAACGAAATCCCAACGCGTTCAGGTAAAACATAATTATTTTTACATTTAACTCAGTTTATAAACGATATTTGCATCTCATCGAAGCGTTTTCGCTGAAAATGTATACTATATTTACTTGAATATTAGGCCAAAAATAGGAAAAGCTCGAGACACCACCGGGGACGTTTTGCGGAAGCATACAAAAGGATGCAATTGCAAAAGATCAGGCTGCCTTAAAAACTATTGCGAATGTTACGAGGCAAAAATTGCTTGTTCGAGTAACTGCAAATGTTATGGATGCAGAAACGTAGAAGATTTTGAGGAAAAAGTACATATTGATTCTACTTCAAGTACCCACAGGATCAATGAGGACGATTTAGCCCAAACACGTTATCGGAAAATCTTACCGAGTTTTAAAGAGAACCATTCTTCGGGTGCCGGATTTGGCCGATCTAGAAAATCAAATCTATTAAGGTATGCAACATTTAATTAACACATTTAACAAAGTTCCTATTAAATCACATTAATTTCAGAAAACAACCCGTTAGTTATCTAACAGACCCCGTTATTGAAGCTGCTTGCCAATGCCTACTGACCACATCGGATAATGCTGATTCAAATTTGCAAGATGAAGAACTGACAATGCGGGAGATTATTGAAGAATTTGGTGGTTGTCTGAGCGAAATCATACATTGCTCTATTAATCGCAACACAAGTTAGAGTGCAAATCTGCTTTGTGGATCACAACTTTTTCACTGTGATCCTATTTTAAGTGTACATTGTATATTTTATTGAATAAGTAAATTGGTTTTTATAGTTTAAAATTATTGTTGTAGGTAAAACCATCTAGATGTAGGATTTTCCTCGCGTTTGAACTGAAAATATCAAGGAATGCCGAGTTCATTAAAAAATGTATGTTATAAACTTGGCAATTTATAAGATTGTACGTTTTCTAAAGTAAATTATTTTTAATACATGGAAAAGTCGTGTGTATATATATAATACGTGAATGAATATTTGAGTGAGTGAATTATGTATATTTATAGGTGTATATGCCAATAGGTTTCAGTTCACTGCAAATAACTTATTGTTAGTTTACGATACAATTAGAAATCGGGATTAAGTAGCAGATATTACGAATAGTTAAGTTACAGTTGCTGTATGAGAAAAATTAACCGCTTGTTAATATTGGATCATTTTATTTATATGCTATTATTAAACGTATATAATTATAAAGCAATTTGGTTTAAATTATAAATCACAATAATACATTTTACAAATTTATGTATTCATATCTCGTCAACGAGAGTCCGCCCAAAACATAAATAACATTGTAAATTAGTATGCCTCATGTAAAGTATATTTGGACAGTAAAAAGGTCAATATGAATGTATTCAGAAATAGGAAAATTTTCATTGAGATTAATCCTAAGAACGTCATCTAAAAATGTAATTATACATATTTATATATTAAAAGCAAAATTCAAAATGAAAAAACTGGGTTGCTGGGTTTTGTACTGCTAATAATTCGAACGCATATCCACTCATATATAAAGCATTGAAAAATCCAATACGGAGACTAATAGTTTACTGAACGCCTACAAAAAAGGTTCAACACGTGAACATTTAAGTCATTCAACCTGAAAAGCCAAGATCAGCCTCAGTTTGTTAATTTTTGATTGCAAAGATTAAAATGTACAAATTAACCACAAGGCTGCTTCTAATCCACATTACTATTCGTTCTCAATACGTTTAATTAATTAAAAGTTGGGTCTTATAGTTCGTCATTTTCGGCTTTTCCGTCCAAACTCCATAGATGAGATTCAGCAATCCACTAATAAAAAGTTCACTTTTATACCTTACGCTTTCTAACTTTGCTTGCTAATCACTGGCTATTAACTTATGAATTCTATTCATGTGTCTGATCAAATAGGATTCCTTTACAAATGCTTTATTACATTCCCTGCATTGAAATTCCTTCCTATTGTGAGTCTCCATGTGTTGTAAATATTGACTTTTATTTGTAAACGTTATTTCGCATTCATCACATGTTACACCTGCGTCCGAAATATGAGTCCATTGGTGGGCAGTTAAGTAACTCTTAACTGTAAAAGTTTTCATACAGATTGTACAAGAATATGGTCGAAGGCCTGAATGACTTCGTTTGTGAGTATTTAGACTAGATTTTTGGGTGAAGCGTTTTTTGCAAATATCACATTGGTAAGGTCTTTCGCCCGTGTGAACTCTCATGTGAACCTAAAAATGTTCGAAAAATCGTCAATACTATATTCCATTTGATTTCCAATAAACAATGGCAATACCGAGCGGAACACAACTTTGAACTTAAGAAAAGAGAATAAGGGACTCTTAATGATGAAGGAAATAAGAATCAAGAAAACAAACATACCTACCTCTAAGTACGGTTTTCTGCAAAATGAGGCATCACATCTAGAGCAACCAAATGGTTTATTATCAGAATGTTGCTTCATGTGCACATAGTAGCTGGAAGCTGACGCTAAAGTCCTATTACAGATTTTGCAAGTTTGAGCCTTTGTCTTTGCGTTCATTTGGCATTTGATTTTACTTTGCTGGTCATTTTCATCGACTTTATGACTCTGTAATCAAAACAAAATATATACTTTACTCACAAAAGCCGAACTAAATAAAAATATCTCCAATTATCCCTCGATATGCAAATCTGGTGGCGGGTCTCTTCTAAAAAAATGTTTGGTTTTTGAGCAAAATGCTTCAAGATAGTTTACCCCAGCCCAATCAATCCAAAATGCAATTACGAGCGACATCGACTTACATTTAAGTCCATGAAAAGTTCATTTTTATAGAAAATCCTCACATTATTGCAGAATAAAAAATACTATTTCCAAAGATCCAAATTTAACATTCTTGCAAACAATGAAAACTGATGTTGTGAGGTGATGTTATGAAGTAAATAGTTGTGTGAAAAAATAAGCTGCTTTGTGATAAAACTCATGTAAAGATAATATGCACTGATGCTTCATTGCCCATTTTGAAACTACGAATTTTACTCAATTGATTACAGAGTTGAGCCTCAACAGTGCATAATCGTGTTAAGATTTATACCTACATGTTGATATATTGCAGTATCTATTGGGCTGCTATGAATATTTGAAATTTGGAAAGTAAAGTTTTAAATTCTAAGCATTTCATGGCGCAATCGTATTCGAAGTTAAAAATATGATCTCGCAGAAAATCCCTTCACTAACAACTTTTCCTAGTAGTATTTTTTGGGACCTGCGGTTTCGAAGCACTTTTTGGTAGAAATTTTGCAATTTTTCTATAAAAAAACATGGCTCGTCATCTTATTTTAAACATTGTTGCTAACAAAACTAAAAAATAATCAATGCTAAGCCAAACATCTGCAAAATTGGACAAATAAAAATTAAGTAAAAACAAAATATAGACTTGAAAAATACAGAAAATTTACCAATAGCAACTAAACTAAACAAAATACCCAAATCTAACGCGAAGTCCTACAAAATGTGCGTAAGGAAAAATCAAGTACAAACAAAATAGTGCTCAAACAAATGTGCGAAAATTTCGCAAAAAACTGCGTTGCTGATGACGTGGTGATAGACAGCGCAATCGTTTTCTTATTGCAATGTATTGAAATTGAAAGAGAAAAAAGTGGCGAAAGAACGCCAAGAAACACTACTAATAAACGTTGTTAGTAAAAGATTATCCACAAGGTAAGCTGATTTTTAAGTTCTAACGTCACTGGTTCATAAAATTCCACATTACTGTTAAACAGGGTGATTACACACTCTGTATCTCGTTAAACATTGTTGGCTCAAAAAAAACTCAAAAATGTTGGCAGTTTTTTCAAAAAATGCTCGAATTCAAGAAGTTTCGACCATTCGAGCCACAGAATTCGTTTTGGCATCGTTAGATAGAGAATTGAAAAGTCGATTCAGTCGTAACAACGTGAGTGAGGAAATTCGAGTAGTTTTGACACAGAAAGCGAAATTTGAATATCAGACACT